TTAGCAATTCTGTCCGCATATGTTTGACCCCCGGGACTGATTCACGAGAATCTCACATACACAGGACACTTGGAGGAGCCTTATCTTTTGTTCAATGGTAGTTGTCAAAACATATTCAGGGTAATCATTCATTAATAAAAGCTGTTTAATTTCCTTTAGCTCAGTGTTGAGTTTACATTCAGAGCACAACATCAATGCACGATGAGTAAGGGTCCTAATATGACTAATCTTCCTGGATCTGGATGCAAAAGAATCCCAAGTTAGGTAAATCCCAGAAAAAGTGGGTTTACGATAAACACTGCAAAGAAAACCTACAGATGTTCTCTCCACCAGTTCATCCAAGAAGGGAAGCTGATCCTTTCTCTTCTATCTTCATTGTACATTTTAGAAAAAGATGGAGATTATTAAGCTGATATATATATGTGTGTGTGTGTGTGTGTGTGTGTGTGTGTAACCATGTTCATATCTGCCTCATTATCAGCAGGGTTAAATACATTTTAGTCTCCTTATGTGTTTATATTGTATAAAAGATTTATAACCATTAACATATATATCCATAATATAAAACACAATGTGATTTTTTATATACTCATCGGTAACGCATCCTTATTTTCTGTATTAGACATAATAGGATATTCCGTTGTTATGACACCAGATAATAAACTAAAGTATCGTCCAAGTATAACTTATATATGCATTGAGAAATAAACATACTTGAAGTAAATTGCGTTATTGCAATATTCTCTTTATTTAAATATTTAGTTATATATGATAATATAAAAATCAAAGGGCTGAGTTCCAATTCTAGTAGAATACGTTACGTTCATTCACGTGCAAATACACTTGGAAAAGGCATGACATATTTCATATCAATGATTTATCATTTATATATGCAAATCATTGATATGGAATATCTGAAAATGGTTAAATTTAATCATTATATGTCATATCTTTTCCGAGTGTATTTGCACGTGAATGAATGTAACGTACTCTACTAGAATTCGAACAGCCCTTTGATTTTTCATTTTGGCCCTTTTTCCATTACACCACCGGCGCATCCACATTTACAGCACGTGAAACTCTTATGCATTCACCCATCTTAGTACTGACCAGTGATTGATACGAAATATCTTAAAAGGGTTAAATTTATTCACGATAAAACATTGAAAAGAATTATTAAATCAGTTACAGCATCCAAATCCAATTTGATTAATGAAAAAGTCGGTTTTAATAACATATCTTTTCTCGCTAAGTTAATACATAAAGAAAATAAAATTAAAATGGATAATGGTTAAACGTCTCTATAAACTTTAATTAAATTCTGCACTTTCCTTAATACCTAAATAATATATAATCATAAATTGTATTGGGAATTATAAGTATTCACTGTTTACTTTGGAAAGAGGCGCTTTATTTTTCTCATCACAAATTTATTTCTTTCATTTTGATTTTTCTGTCTCAAAGGGTCAAATTTAAATTTCATTTTCACATTCTTCCCATCTACAAATCCCATTGAATTTATTCACGGATATATTTTTAAATGCTATTAACTCTTAATAATTTTCAAATTGACCTCAATGTCTTCAGTATCCAAATGATTTCATGTATTCCATCTTTTATTTACGGACGTATATATATATATATATATATATATATATATATATATATATATATATATATATATATATATATGGACAAAGTCCGACAATTATTTTAAGACATTTTGTATGTTTATACATTGTTTTTTATAGATACAAATATTTAAGTAAATGTTTTGTTTATATTAAACAGTATTAACGGGGGACGCATATTTTCAGGCCGGAAAATGTCGTTAATACTGTTTATTATAATCAAAGCATTTACTTAAATATTTGTATCTATAAACAAGAATGTACAAACATAAAAATGTCTTAAAAATAATTGTCGGACTTTGTCCATTTCATAATGTGTGACGTCATTTGTTTACATTTAGATACGCATCGAGCAGATATAAATGTGCAAGAGAAAATCATGGAGAATTGTAGTTTAAAAACAGTAAAATTGACCTTGCTAACCGAAACGCTCCTCTGTGGCTAAGTCGGTAAAGCACGTCAGGCTAATTGACGGTTCCGTATAGGATACACGTTCGATTCCTGTCGGAGGACAAATATTTTCTATGAAAATTTCTCGGAAAATCAGGCCGGTAACTGTCGTTAATACTGTTTATTATAAACAGAGCATTTACTTAAATATTTGTATCTATAAAAAAGAAAGTATATACAAAAAATGTCTTAAAATATATATATATGTTTGTGCGTGTTTGGTGAAAATAGTTTTGCGACATACTATATTTATGGGTAAAATTGCTCAATATCAGGGATAGAGCATATGTAAATATGAAAGTGGTCAACACCAAGCGGCAAAAGTCTGTTTCATGCGTGAACGCAATCTTCAGGCCATGTATGTTGTATTTTGCCTAGACTATTTATATATGCTAATCAGTTGAGTATTATGAATAGTA